ATGTAGTCACTATGATTCCTGTGTATTCTACTTGGTGAGGTCTATGTGTATTAAAAAAACAAAAACAAAACCTTTTTAGTTTTTGAAAAAAATATAATTGTAATGAACACATTGCTGTTTTGGAAAATTCTATCCTGCATTCTCCAGCATTGTTATCATCTAGGCCATGTTTTCCAAATACTGATCCTTCCCCTAGTTTTTCTAACTTCTGCATTCCAATCACCAGTAATTACCAAAGCATCTTGATTGCAAGTTTGATCAGTTTCACACATGAAGAAGTTTATAGAATTCTTTAATTTTTTCATCATTGGTTTTGGTGGTTGGTGTATAAATTTGAATAATATTGGCATTAACTGGTCTTTCTTGTAGGTGTATGGATAATATCCTATCATAGACAGCATTGTACTTCAAGATAGGTCTTGAAATGTTCTTTTTGATGATGAATGTGATATCATTTATCTTCAGTGTGTCATTTCTAGCATATTAAACCATATATTTGTCTAATTCAAAATACCACTTCAGCTGATTAGTGTCTAACATATTGAACTTTATGCGTTCCATTTCATTTTTGACGAACTCCAATTTTCCTAGATTCATATTTTGTACATTCCATGAGAAATTATCAGTGGATGTTTGCAGCTGTGTCTTCTCATTTTGAGTTGTGACCCATCAGCAAAATAAGGTCCCAAAAGCTTTACTCAATCCATGTCACTAAAGTCAACTTTACTTCGAAGAGATAGCTTTTCCCCAGTTGTAGTTTAAGAGCACCTTTCAACCTGAGGGGCTTTTCTTCTGGCACTATAGCAGATTTTCAGTCCTGGTGTGGCACTGTAAGTTAAAGTGCCAGACTGCAAATCTGTTTGAACTGCAAGGTCGGTGGTTCAAGTTTACCAGCTGCTTCTCAGAAACCCCATACAGAGTTGCTATGGACCAGAACTGACATGATGGCACTTAACAACAACAACAACACCTATTTAGAAGTAGTCGGCCACTCTTTCTTCCTAGTCTGTGTTTCTCTGTAAGGTCCACTGAAATCTGTCAGCCATGGGTGACCTTGTGGCATCACAGCCACATATAAGCCACCACATTATAAAAAACTGAAAGATGAGTGGTGGAAGGGGATGATGTATAGTTGAAAATCAGGAAAAATGTGTGTCAGGGGTATATCATTTCACCACACTCACTTAATCTGTATTCTTAGCAAATAAAACAAAAAGCAAATTATATGTTGAAGACTGTGGAATTAGAATTGGAGGAAGATTCATTAATAGCCTTGCTTGTTGCAAGTGAGGAAGACTTGAAGCACTTAATGAAGAAGATCAAAGACTGCAGCCTTTGGTATGTATTGTTGCTGTTAAGTGCTATGGAGTAGGTTCTAACTGACAGTGACCTTGTATAGGGTTTCAGAGGAGTAGCTGGGGGGTTTGAACTGCCAATGTTGTGGTTCACAGTCCAGTGCTTATCCTACAGCACCACACCTGTATTAGATGTTAACATAAACAAAATAAAACCCTCACAACTAGGCCAATAATCGTCACCAAAAATGGAGACATTTTGATATCAAGGATTTCATTTTACTTGGTTTCACAATCAATATCTATGGAAGTGGCAGTTAGAAAATCAATGAACGAATTGCATTGGACAAATCTCCTGCAAGGGATGTCTTTAAAATATTTAAAAAATAAATATGACACTTTGAGGACTAATATGAGTCTGGCCCAAATCATGGTATTTTCAGTTGCCTGATGTGCATGGGAAAGCTGCCTAATGACCATGGAGGACCAATCAAGAATTGATGACGTTTAATAATGATGTTGATGAACAATATTGTATATGCCATGATACTATAGAATAAGCACTGGACTACCAACTGCAAGTCAGAGGTTCAAACCCACTAGCTGCTCCTTGGAAACCCTATACAGGATTGCTATGAGTTGCAACTCACTAGACAGCATTAAACAACAACAACAACCAGAAGAACAGATGAATTTGTCTTAGAAGTTCACCCAGAAATCTGCTTAGAAGAGAGAAAAGTCTAGATGGTGACCAGCTATGACTACCAACTGCTCTGAAAGGGATCACATTTGATGGTCCCAGATAGAGTCAGAGAAAATGTGGAACAAAACTCAAAATTATAAAAATGACCAGGTTTACTTGTCAGAAGGAGATTGGAGGAATCCAAGATTTGACCACCATCATTCAGGTCTGGAATGGAACTTACCTTCATGAGACAATTTTTAGCCAAGCAGTACATAGATACATAGGGGGAGCAACAACACTAATACTATATGCTCATGATAGAATGGTCAGTCATTCAAAATCAAAAAGGTAACATTTTCCTAAGGACAAAGGTGAGAAGAAATGAGAAGGTGGTTGAAATGAAAATACGAGCCACAGGGAGGAAGTGGGGAAACTATTGTTACAGTGATGGGATTGCAGTCATTGAGATAAAACAAGGTATATGATTTTTTAAATGTAAAACTGATGGACTTATCTGTAAACCTTCACTCAATTCACAATGAAAAGTTTAAAAATTAAACTAAAGAAGAGCATGGAGAGACTTCGTCTCATGAACTTTGGACATATTATCAGTGGGAAAAATTTCTAGAAAACAACACCTGGCTTGATTAAGTAGAGGGTCAGTGAAAAAGAGGAACACCACCAATGAAATGATGGAACCCAATGACTGCAACAATAGCCTCAAATATAGCATAGCACCAGTAGGTGCTTTGTACTGTTGTACATAGGGCCATTATAAGTGGGATCTGGCCAGACAACATCTAATGACAACAAATGTGCAGAGAACTGGACTCTAAATTTAATAAATGAAAGATTTAGATCTATGGTTTCCTAGTTACCTCCACATAGGCTTAATTTTTTTTTCTAAATTGAAGGCAGTGAATCTGTTTTTCTTATCCTAGCACTCTTTCTGGAAACAAACAGCCATTATTATCTGGTTATAAAACTAGCTTAAATGGACTCTGGGCACTATAGGGGTAAGCACTGGAATGCTATTCAGAGGTTGGTGGTTCAAATCCACCAATCACTCCTCAGTATGGGTTGGAAGCACTTAACAACAACAACAACAACAAAAATATACTTTAATATTTTATCATTTGACACTGTAATGAATAACTATAATAAAGATTGTATTACTGTTTCTTCAACTATCCTAGAGGGTCATTGAATAAGTAATGCCAAGCATAAGTTTCATTTGACATATTAACAGTTTTGATTACTCCAAGGAACTTCACAGAGAATTTATATGAAACAAAGAAACGTATGGAATTGAACAACAGTTAAGTCACTTTGGACCATGCAGCAAACTTGGATATTGTCACTATCTCAACTCATCCATTTTCCTATTCAGCAAGACTTTCTTTCCTTTAATTAGTAACTTAATTATTTGAGTTGATTTCATGATGTTTTGCAGAGCTGGGGAAAACAAATGATTTAAGGAAACTTGTTAAGTTATAAGCCATTTCTCCAACAGAAGCTATAGTATTCTCACTTGTAAATTTCAACCTCACTGGACTGGTGTGAGGAGACAGAGAAAAGGAAGAAAATTCCAAAGAATTTAGATAATAAAAGGTAGATTTTTTTCAGGACACCTCACAACAGTTATTTTATTTGCATCATGCTAATTGTTATATCAATTGGATTAAATGGATTGAATAGTGACAGAATCTTCATGTTTTATAGCTTGGACAAAGTCTGTTGACTCAATTTCTATTCTAGAATAAAACACTAATGGAGGTTTGGATAATAGTTCTGTTTTGATAGTGCTGAGAGTGTTGCCCACTCTGAATAATGAATGAGGTATAAGGTAAATTGATAAAGATAAGAAATTGTCAACATGAAAGAAGTAGACGCCATTCCAGCTCTTCCACATAATTTCCTTGAACAGTTTAAAGGCCATACTAAAATTATTAATGTGCTGGTATTTAAATATAAATATGTCAAATGAAATTTAAAAAATCAAATGCTATTTTTTATACTTACAAAAGAATTTTAAATGTGTATTTCTTAAGTTAAATACAATAGTAAAAAATTTAAAAACATAGACTTAGAAGAAAGTAATATTCACCTGTAATTCTACTGTTGTTAGGTGTCTTTGAATCAATTCTGACTTATACCCCCCTGTGTACAGCAGACTGAAACCATCTTCACAATCATTCTTATACGTGAGTTCCTTGTTGCAGTCACTGTGTCAATCTATCTGGTTGTGAGGCTTCCTCTTTGTCTTTATCATGTAGGATATCCTTTTCCCTGACAACATGACCAAAATACATGAGCCAGAATCTCACTATTTCTTATTTCTAAGGAACATTCTATCTGTACTTCTTTGAAGAACGATTTGTTCTATCTTCAGGAAGTCCATGGCATATTCAGTATTCTTCTCCAACACCATAATTAAAAATCATTAATCAATTGTTCTTCTTTAATCACTATGAAGCTTTTACATGCTTATGAGATGATTGAAAATAGTTGGCTTTGGACAAGTGCACCTTATTACTCAAAGTGTCATCTTTACCTTTTAACACTTGAAAGAGGTCTTTTGCTGTAGATTTGCCCAATGTGATGCATCGTTTTATTTCTTGACTGCTGCTAATTCCAAAGACGATTGGTTCCACTACCAAGAAAGACATAACCAGAGGTAATATTTTACAATCTAATTAGGCATGTTCTCTATCTATCTAGCTCTCGACCTTTCTATGAGTGTTCATAGTCATTCAATGATTTTAAAATGGAGTGCTGTAGGATAAGCACTAGAATCTTAGTTCAGTTTCAACCATAATGTCATTGGTTCAAGCTCAACTTATTTCATAAGTTAACCCTGGAAATCCTGTCTGGTCACTAAGGGTCAGAACCAACTCCACTATACTTAACAACAATTTTTGATAAACATGCATGTAGATAGTTGCCTGTAAAACCTATTTAACTAGAAATACTTCCAGTTAGTTACAAAGACTGAAAATGGATGTTTATGATCATTTCAGGAAATGAATTATTTCCAGATAAAGAAGATACAAATTATGAAGAACTACTGATGGCACTATTAAATAGAGCTTTTGCTCTCCAAAAATCTTCCAACATAGGTGAGTTAGGAGTAGAACCATTCTGAAAAAGAAAAAAAGAAAAGAAAAAGAGAATCATTCTGTTTTATTACCTGTTCTGCAAAATATTAGCAAGTTATTTTACATATCTGTCATTGAAGGAATGTTTTTCTTGTCTTATTTTCAAGCTATAAGAAATGAAGTTATTTAAGAATATTAAAAGTCTCTTTTGTTCAATTGCAGGATCCAAATGGGAATGGTAAATAATTAAGAAAAAAATTATCTTTATATGTATTTTCTCATAAGAGAAAATACAGGTTTCCATTAGATATTTCATAAGTTAACCGTATTTATGTGGTTTTTAAGCTAGTACCTTTTTCAATCAAATTATTTCAACTTGGGAAATGATTGTAGTAGAGATTGGTTTTTTTTAGTGACTACATGCCTTTTGTAATGTAAGACTGTTATGGAAAAATTAGGCAAAAGAAATTGAGATATTTTCCCATTTGAGTAAAAGGAGTATCAGATTTACAATTATTTACAAAATGTTCTCATAGAAATGACTGAGGTATTTTCTGAAATAGTGCAAATTGAATTTCATAGAAAATGTGACAGAATGACATTGTGGGACCTCTCAGAAATTACCTGAACTCTTATTTAAAAAAAAAAAAAGTATTCTTTAAGAAAAGATACCTAAACTAAAAGGAAAAATAAAAAAAAACTTTGTTGGTTTCTGGAGGCTGGAGAGAGGGGACAGTAGAGCACAGGGTAGGGAATAGACAAATCATAGTTCAGATGTTGGAGAGGACAATATACAAGAAGGGAGACGGGAATGGAAGAACAAGGTAGATAAGGGAACACTGAGGCAGGTTTACATGGGCTAAATGGGACAGAGGTAAATGGTGATGTATGTTCAACCTTGGAAAACAGGGCTCTGTGATACAGGGATTGAGGTATAGTCTGAATGTGTGAAAGAGGGGAAATAAGGTTAAGATGGTTTACTGTCTTATGAATATTGGTTTCCCTTGCCTACTATTATAAAATAGACACTTGAGTGGGATAGAAAGGAATATCTGGAAACATGATTACAGAAAGCTTGTAAGCCCCTCTGCAGCCTATAACTGATTGGGATACCTAAAAGAGGTTCTAGAACTTGCCAAGTGAAATATACTTCCTGTAGAACCTATGTAGTATTGAGGACCTTGGGTGGAATCCTGAGCCCCATCCAGAACCTTCTGAGGTGGAACATTCCCACTTGAAAGGACAAACAGAACAGTCTAGAACAGCTAGAGGAACAGAAGATACTTCTAGAAAGAAAGGCCAGAAGGAAAAAAAAAAAAAAAAATGGCAGTCTGATTGGCTGCTACAAGAACAAGCAAATTGTTCACCGTGGAAGCCATCAAGGCAAGCAATCAAGTCCCTTCAGGACAAAACCCTTTCCAAGACTGAAACTCAAAGGAAACACATGAGCAGGCATGGAAGCTTACTGGTGACCAAATTGGTCTGCTAGTGAGTGGAAGAGGGGGAAAGGCAGCAATGAAGATATGGGCTGAGTCTGACCACGTTCCATAGACTCCCATTGACTTGGAGATGAAAGAAGAGGAAGGACTGCTTCTTCCAAAGTGTGGTAAGACCTTAGGACTCCTGAGCCCATGGATGAGGACGTAGCCACAGAGGGCTGGAGCTGAGAGTGAACAGTCCAGCTGATATGAAGTGAGAGAAGATGCACAAGAACATCCAAACTTAATATCCATTCAACCTAGTTTTTAGCCTGATGATTAGAACTTGACAACAGGAAGATTAAAAAAAAAAAAATGATAAAGGAAATAAGTGTAAATTGCTACAACTTGATGAACTTGACCTATACTTATGGATGTTTGTTGTTGTTGTTGTTAAGTGCCGTTAAGTTGATTCCGACCCATAGTGACCCTGTAAATAGAGTTTCCAAGGAGCAGCTGGTGAGCTTGAACTGCCAACCTTGCTTTTCAAATGACTTTGTAGTCTGGCACATTAACCTACAGTACCACACCATACTTATGGATGTAGTAGCTCTAAATACCAATTGAGAGGGTATAGTCTTCACATCAAGTATCAATCCTATCCTCTCTGTATACAGGGTTGATTGGGACAGGCAATTTAGACATTGCCTACCTAAAATGGGGTAGGGGTGCAGTGGGGTGGTGGTGCTATTAAGGCACAAAGTGACTGGTTTACAAGATTTCAAGAGGGAGTTTAGTTTCAGAGTGTGCAGGGGAAGGTAGACTTCCCACTGAAT